ATAGTATATATATATATATATATATATATATATATATAAATATATATATACATGTTTTTCAGCAAATATGTATTACACTGATCAAAAGTGACAGTAAAGACATTTATAATGTTATACTGTATAAGATTTATATTTAAAATAAATAAATTGATAATGCATTGATAGCAATAACATTGATAATAATAATAATAATAATAATAAACATTTCTTGAACACCAAATAAGCATATTAGAATTATTTCTGAAGGATCATGTTACACTGAAGACTGGAGTAATGATGCTGAAAATTCAGCTATCCAAGGAATGAATAACATTTTAAAATATATTGAAATAGAAAACAGTTATTTGAAATTGTAATAATATTTTACAATATTACTGTTTTACTTTACATTTGATAAAACAAATGAAGTCTTGGTGAGCATCCAAGACTTCTTTCAAAAACCTTAACAAATCTTACCAACGCCAAACTTTTAAACGATAGTGTAGGTGAATGAGAACTGAGGTTGTCATGCTACAAGAAGGAAAGAAGGCAATATAAAAAAGTATCATAAAAGTGGTCCATAAGATTTGATGATGAGGCTTTTCAGTGAATATTACATTCTGCATAAAGTCAGTTCTTCATACATATCTTTTGTTTGACTTCAGAAGAACTGGAATATAATGCACAAGTTGCATGGGCTACTCTTATGATCTTTTATAGTGCTTCTTTGTCCTTTGGTCCTTGACAGCCAAAACGATGTGGCCTTTTATCAGTATTTATTTCTTGTTATTTTCTTCCACTGCGCGGGCTGGGAGCCAGGGAAAAAGCTGGCTGCAGGGACCACAGGGCTACCGTGACATTTAAAGTGTTGGACAGATGAGCAATGTATCATGTATCAGAGTGAATTGAGGGGAGTGACTAGAAAGCGCTACTTTATGTGAGTGCATTTTTAAGGACACAGAGTCCTGCTACCTGCAGGCTTCTGCATTGTACATCCGATTTTAATATCTGGGGAATGCAGCAGGGCACATACATACAGTACATTTCAATATTTTAAGTGATCTAACTGTAATGTACAACAGGATCTCTTCAGGTACCACACACCACTACCTCATGAAAATTCACTCTGAAAGAGTCTGACAATACTAATGATGAAAAATATTCATGTTAATGAATTCATGTAGTTCAATGAATACATGCATTCATACATTACAATAGAAATTGCTTATATTTCGATATAATCTTATCCACTGCAGTACATGGTTTGTCACAGAGCATCATTCCATACTTATTTATGTGCATATTTCCTAACAAACACAACGCAACAACAAACAAGATGCAACAATTTCCAAAGAAAGACAATTTTCAAAGAGTGCATTAGTGCCTGCCCTCATTTTCCATAGGGACAATCAGCTATGAGAAGAATCACATCACAATTTCATATATTTAAAGCAAAAAAGCAATTGAAAATTGGAAAAAATTACAAAAGTACAAGACTATACTTAACTCAGATTGTGTGAAGGAAAAAATACCATGAATGATATAATCAAATTAAAAATGATGGAGAAATATAAAACTATTCATTTAGAGTTGTTGATTATATCTATAGAAACAACCAAAAATAAAAGTATCGGTATCAGGCGAGTACTGGAAAAAGTGGTATCGGTGCATCCCTAATATATATATTATATAAAGTTAATTGTAAAACATACATTTATATAGTATTTTGATAGCATAGCGAGACCAACTCGATTACGTCATTTCCTCTTTTGGGATGATTTGCTAACCATCACTCTCTGATTGGTGATATTTTCTATACAGCAGCATGTGTAATGTAGTTTTTCACAACGAATCCAGCTTTTAAACATGATCATTAAAAAAAAAATGAAATAATGTGAAATGTACAGCATATACGACTGATTAACAACATCTAAATTTACAGTAGGTTTGTCTTTATAGGTTTATTTAAGGTTGTTTAATTCTGTGAGGTTAAACAAAATGCAGTCACCATGTTTTTTTGCTACGTGTTGAAAGTCTTGTGACACCATAAGTTTAAGTGGATACAATTTCCTCTGTCTGTAAACAATTTAGCCAAAGGTCAGTCTGAATAAGCAATGACCTAAATGTGCTATGGCTGAGGGGCTGCCTGTCTTACAAAGGTGTTTAAAAGAGGACAGTGGCCTCTTAGCAAACAAGATTATATGTCAGTGAAAGAACAGTAACATAATCACAAGCATTGCCTTCGGTTTCACAGTACTGGTCTTGTATAATAATTACAGCAATAACAAAAGATGAGATTCTGATTAAAAATTTGCAAGGAAAAGAAGTAACTGCAGTCCCCTGGGCACGTATTAGCATTCAAAAAACATTTTACTTTTATTGAATGGACCAGCAAAACTAATTTCTTATTGGATTTGTTTGCACAGCGTAGGGTAGAGAACTATCCCTGATGGCTGATAACCTGCCTTTATGTAATTCGGCGAGGAGATGTATCTCAGTCAGATATAAGTATGAAAACATTAAAATTCTCATTCTTAGAAGACAATTCTGGCACTCTCTGAGTGGTAGTTTACATGCTTTATAGTTTGTTGTGCTGTGAGCTCTGAGCTTATTTAGGCTGCCAGGCAAAGTGAGGAGAAAAAGGGCTCCCTTTAAAACAACACTGCTTAATCAACTCAGTGTCAAGATAGCCCAGTTGAATCACAACTTGGAGCCACGTTGCCATGGTTTCTGTCTCGACCCCCAACTAGCTGCCTACAGTTTGGTTTGTTTGTTTATTCCTCAGGATAAAACTGGTATCAACATTACAAGTGTGTGAAACCTCTGTTCTATAAATCTGCGTAAAATTGTGGTTTTTAACTCCATGATGTGCTTGCAACGCTCCAGCAATGGAAGAGATGCAAATCACGGACCAGAAGAGACAGTAAAGGATGACAGACTTCTCCACTATCTGAAAACACTGTATGTTTACAGAATACTGAAAATTGGACATTTTGCTTACCTGAACAAATCAGTTTCATCAACATGTACTGCCTGCCACAGTCTTTCCTATAGTAATATCTTAAACGATCCACCAAGCAGGTTCCAATTCTGACCTTCTCCTTTTTGCAAAGAAGGATGAGGTTCTCATCTGCAGTAATGAGAGCGAGATCAAAGGAGAGAAAGAGTGAGTAAGAAAGCGACAGCCACACAGATGTTTAAAAGCCCTGTGGATACAACTCACCCAGTGACCACCCACCTTATTTCAATCATATGACCACAGACTCTTCATATTATTTATGGCAAGTTCATCATTCCAAGCCAAAACATATCAAGTCAATGTTGAGGACATTTATCCAGACTGGTACACAAATTAACCATCTTTGACACTTCAGCTTGTGTACTAAAGCGCCTCTCAAGTCGTATTTACTACTGGGAAACTCTGAGATAATTTTGATACCAGAGTTTCCGAGTTGGGCGGGCCATAAACTTTTAACATTTTAACATTTTAACTTTAAACGACATCACTTTATCTTGTCGCTAAAGTAGTGTGTTTATAGGCTATATATGAACAATCATTTGAAGCATATTGTATGTTTTATAAACAGTAAAATAAGCATGTATTTATATGATTGTCAACCAATGGGATGCTACATTTTACAATGCAACAATGCACTTGACTGCTACAATCTCTTAATCACAAAAGGGGGAATTAGGATTTTTTTTTTCTCGATAGCATGTGAAGGCAGCATTAGTCTGATGCATAATTTCAGATTTGAAAGATTAAAAGTCTTATTTTTATATTTTCTGCAAGTCCAGTTTGATAATGAGAAAATCTGAAATGAGTTGTAAGGGGTTTGATTGATCTGCTTGGTTATGAAAAGGGTTATTTAACAAGTGCAAAGAACAGCATCATTATAATCTACAACTTGATGACTTCAAAGTCAATACTCTGGGTTATTTATTTTATGTAATGTAGCATAACTTACCAGGGCCCATTAGCAGGCTACTGGCGATTTATTTACTTTTTGCATTTGACCATACTTTTCAAAAACAACACAACTGTAATATGAAAATGGCATTTAAACTTATTCTTGTTTTCTTGTTCTGGCTAATTCTAACATTAACTAGCTTTTTCATGAACACAACATGAGGATTAAAATGAAACAGCATATAATAATTTAATGGCATACATAAAGCGCACTAACCTCCAGATAACCTAAAGAAACTCTGCCTAATTATTCAGCACTCACAAGTGCATTTGTGAAAACATGCATAAAACACTCAAACAAAACGTACTCACATGTTTTGGTGTAATTCTTGCCAGTCTTGATTATATCTGAAGTAGTGAAAACAAGATGACAGTGCAGGAGTAGAACTAGAATTGAAAAAAAAAAATGACAGAGAGAAAGCAAGGGGGAAATTGTTTCATATCATTATTATAAGGTATTGTTTTATTTTAATTCTACTTTATTTTTAATGCTGACAGTGTTACATCTCATGGGATCTTGGTATATCAGGTGTGTGTGCAGGTGCAATCATTCAGAATCAACGGAGACCAACTGAATAGAGCAACAAGCTACAATACAGCCTAGCTAATAATTCAACAAACTATGAGTGGTACACAGTGACCTTTATGTTCCTATTACATTATTAAGTTATGAAAATTCACAACTCATAGGCAGACAGACAGACAGACAGATGATGAAATTATTCTTGAGATAGATAGATCGATAGATAGATAGATAGATAGATAGATAGATAGGCTCAAAAGCACTACACACAATAATTTGAACTTTTAATTTGAATACTCACAAAGGTCTGTTATCTGATTTTTTTAATATGATAAACAACCAGTTATAAAGCTATTAAAACCATTTTGTGCATATTACGTGAAAAAACAAAAGACGAAGATTTACTAAAAACATGCATTTGTTAGCTACCATTAAAAAAATACTTTGATTTGTGTATCCTAACGTAGTCAGTTTGATTCAGTCTTTTGATATATTGACGAAACAGTTAATACGTGTTCCCACATTTAGCAAGTTTTAAGTTACCTGACAAAATATTTTAGTGTTTATTTCAGCGTAAACAGACCAGAGTCTGTGAAACAGGGTAAAACGAGAACATTGTGTGGAGACTGTATGACTTAAGGTAAGGAACAGGTGAAATAACCTACTTACCCGCTTGCAGAGGAGAAAATAGCCCCATGCAACTTGAACGTCAGTGTTTCTCGGATTGCTCTAAAAAGCCCACATGGACTCAGAGCTGCAGAATTTCACTCTTCTAACCCCCTCAGACATGTTTAACCACAATCCTGCAAATTCAGCTCCTCGACATGTCTAAATATCTCGCGCGGTCGTGTTGTCTATGCATGCATGTGCCACCGATCACAGACTGTTACATCAAATCATCTGACAGAGCTGCGCAAACGCCGCTTTCCTCCGGATCCAAAACGATCTCTTACTTGATCACGACACTTTCATTACAGTGACTGTAAAAAATCACAATAAACATCTGATGTATCTGTATCCTCGCCACTTTATGGCAGAGTCTCCCGGCACTTCATAAGGCTTTCTGAATAAAGAAATGAGAGCAGGTGTTGCTGTGCCATTATACAGCGAGAAGAGAGAGAGAGAACTGCACTCACGACAGACGAATAGTAGCCTACTGGGAGAGTATATAATATATTTCAGCATAAATAGATATAAAAAAGAGAGAAAAATCATAACCTCATAGATAATGCTTTGTACAGTAAAATGCCATTAAATAAATGGAGCAACTGTCATCAGCCTACAAGGTGCATTCTTCTCCCTATAACTCTTAAAACTTCACTGTAACATATATCTTTCTAAATTCCAACATAACAGAACATTAAACACCATCATCTTTCTTATTTGGTTCAAAAACACATACAATGCCTCATTTTTCAACATTTACTCTTCCCACATGCCAAACATGCTGGGAATTAGAAATCCCCTGCCCATAATGGCAATAAAACCTATTCATGTAGGCTAATTTCAACAGCACAGAGGCTTACATGACACCTCTTCCCTCGTTTTAGTTAAATCATGGCCACAATAAAAAAAATGAACATGACCACAAATTAATAAGTTGCGGATACAAATAGCCACACTGTCTATTATTAATGTTTTCCACATGTCATGTGCAGGACTCCATACAACACAACTTGTGAATAAACAAACACTGTTATACACGTTAATATTGAAGCTTATTTCCAAGCAAATTACACGTAATGACACTGTGACAACATGTTCAAGACTTGTGCTGCTTATTTCAGTTACATAATTTGAAGGAAAAAAAAAAAAAAAAAGAAATATAACATGATGATTTTTTTTTACATATTGTCATTAAGTAAAACGCCATAAATAATTACATAACACATATGAAAAAACAGTTATACATTAACCAACTACTTCAGAAAACAAGACTGTATAAATAGAAATGGATGGCAGGTATTGGATGGTCATAACTGGCACTTGACATGTTTGTGGATGAATGTGAAAGAGCTTCAAAATATAATCTGGTATTTACTGACATGTGTAGAGAGATAAACAGAAGAATGTGTTTATGAAAGTGCCATGTATATTGGCATTTAAAAATTTCTTGGGATTTTAGTACCCCGAGCAAAGAGGAAAGACAACATACTGTGATCTGATACAACAGTGGCTGCATAGCTGTCAGTGTAACTTTACTGTGGCTTACATGCAACTCAAGAAAGCCCCTTCACTTTACTTGTCTTTTTGCAGCTGTTAATTCTCAGAGGAGGTATAGTACAGCAGGTCAGCATTTTCTAAGTGCAAGTGTGAATCACTTTCTCACACTAGTACAAGATCACACCTTTGGGATTTGAGAATGCAACAACTCAGCAGATATAAATGGGAACAAAATGTGCATAAGCCATTAGATGAATTGCCATTGCTTGTTTCAAATCTCAACAGCCCCTCGCTCTTGGCATGAACCGTGCTGCGCCATACATCACTTGCTTTGCATAATTTACTGAAAATACATCTGTTATTATTATCATGCTTAAAATTTATAAGCATTTTATAAAGTTCTGCATATTTGTATTTCAGAGCTGTATATGTATTTGTGGTCACCTTGGCCACACACAGAGTCCAAAAAAAATAAAAAAACGCACAAAATTATAAATAATTTTTATGGTTATCACTGTGTTACCAATTGCAATTTCCAGAGTGGCTCCTGTATTTTCTAGTACAGTGGTTTTCAGTCCTGGCTATTGACCCACAGAACTGCACATTTATGTCTCTCTTATCTGACAGACTCAGTTCACGTAGCTCTCACCTACCGAGCCGATGATCAAAATCAGGTGTATTAGATAAGGAAAATATGTAAAATGTGCAGTGCTGTGGGTCCCCAGAATCAGGGTTGAAATCCACTGTTTTAGGGCAGCCACTTTCAAATTGCATGTCTGCATAGTAGGAATAATGGTCTGCCTTGAGTGTGAGAATGGTTCTCAGTTTCAGTAAACCAGCTGTTTAGTTGGTATACATAACATGTATTTAAATATTTCTCACATGATGAACCACTAGTGCATTTAGAAACTCAGAAGACATGGTTTTGAATTAGGCTGAAGAGTTTTTCTGAAGACTCTTTTAAGGCTAATTTACACTGCCACTGATTTACAGTACATCACTTGTCAGAAATTCCAAGATCTGACAAACGGCGATTCAACATGTTAAATTAGCGAAAACAAGCACTGACCAATGCAACAGATGCCAACAACATACACACTGTCTGTGTCTGTCGATGCAGTGTTCTAATTCTATTCTATCTAGCTGTTCTTTCCTTTTTTTCTCTCACTATTAGCAATACACTACTATTCAAAGGTCTGAGGTAAAAAAAAAAAAAAAACGTTCAGCAAGGACACATTACATATTACTAGCATATTGGCCATTTATTAGTCCTTATAAAGCACATATTAATGCCTTATTCTCCATGACAATATTTTATATCCCTTAATCCAAACCCATACCTAAACTTAACAACTATACTAACTATCAATAAGCAGCAAATTAGGAGTTTTTTGAGGGAAACCTCCTTGTTAATAGTGAATATGTTCCTGATTCTAAAGTGTTACCAAAAAGACCTTTTAACAGAAGCACTCTCTATTCTATTTCTAATCTATCTGCTTGTTTTCTTTTTTATTTATTAAAAAACAACAGTAACAAAAAATTGACCATTTAACACTAGCATTTTCTATTTTTTTCTATTCTACAGATGTTTTCTTTTTATTTATTATAAAATAAATAATAATAATAATAACTTGCTATGTGTACTGCAATAGACAATCTGGGACTTGTCACAACGCTTATATTATTGCTCTTCTGAGAAGTCAAATGTGTCCCACTTTGCCCTAATTCACTCTAATAGGTTACAGTGACAAGTACATTAATATTTTGCCTTATGTGTTTATTTACACTTTTTTTTTTCTTTATTTATTTTTTCCCCTACGTTTCTGGTTGCTGAGGGTTGTATAATACATGAAGTATGACTCAATATGGTACACAGGGCTTGGAGAGGGTGATGAGATCTCAGTGACTACACTTTAAAAAAAATGTAAGTTCTTTATCAATCTTTCCTTTAACATCCATGGAACCTTTCCACTGCCCAAAATAACTATTCACTGAAACGTTCTTTGGGGAACCCCAAATGGTTCCTATATATTGCTGTGACAACCCTCTTTTGTAACCTTTATTTTTAAGTGTGCAGCTGACAAGTGTATATTTCTGCTTCAAATTCCCAGTATTGCTGCTACTGCTACTAAAAAGACCAAAGATCATGATCCACATGTACACAAGAGATAGATACAATATGCAGGTGTCCCCCTGTGTGTCTGTGCGAAAGAGAGTGTGATTGTGTAACATGTACATGACATAAGCCAAGGAAGACATCTTATTGAACTCTCTGTGAGGGCATTAGAGTGGAAGGTACAATCGTGGCTTGCTGAGAGAGCGAGAGGGAGGGAGAGAGAGGGAATGTGACAGGGACAAGTGTTTCTGAATGAGGTTATATAACATTCTTGTGCTGGAATCTTTAGTGGAGCCAATCAACATTTTTTTATTATTGTAAGAAGAGGTGTGTTCATTAAAAATACACTCTGAGTGAAAGAGAAGATATATGACAAAGGTTAAAAAAGGTGAAGGGATTTCCTTGGATTTGCTGACCTTTCCAAATCCTCACTTCTCCTTCTCATTTCTCTGCTTTGGAGGCATTAAATAGAATCTATTTGTATTCCAAAGTAATTTGTCTGTGTGTATGAAATGGAGGAGACAAGGGCAGATGGAACAGACATGCTTAAAGATTGTACTGATCTCAGATGAGTCTAGCTGAGTGTACTGTAAATGAGAGAGTGTACCTGTATGTTGTTAGCACTTATCAAATGTAGTATATTTCGTTCTGCTGTTTGAAAGAAGTCTCTTATGCTAGTCTCTTAGTAATATTGTGCTTTCTACTTTACTATATTGTAAAAATAATTATAATTTATTCCTGTGATGGCAAAGCTGATTTTTTAACAAGTACTCTCAAGTGTCACATGACCCTTCAGAAATTATTCTAATATGCTGATTTGGTGCTAATTTCTTATTATTATCATCAATATTGAAAACAGTTGTGCTGTTTAATGATTATTATTATTGTTATTTTGTGAAAATCATAGTAAGAAAGGTAAATAGAAATAATAGAAAGGTAAAAATAACAGCATTTATTTGAAATAGGAATCTTTTGTAACAATATAAATGTCTTTACTGTTACATTTGATCAATCTACTGCATCGTAATAAAAATATAAATTCTTTAACTTAAAAAAAAAAATAAAATAAAACTAAACATTTTACTGACCTAAAACTTTTCAACAATCCTGCATCTGTATGTAAGTAAAACTGTAAGAAACAAAAGAAAATAGTTGATGCCTTAATGTATTTTCAGATTTTTGTTTCCCTGAAATCTAAATGTATGGCTGCAGATCACAAATCTTCACCAAATAAATGAATGAATATAA